TTTAATTCATTGAAATTATTTCTGATGTAAGGGTCTCTCTGAATAAATAAAACAATTATAACCACTTGGAATTCGAAGATGGTATTGGGTATTATGCCAATTTTGTAAAAGGGGTGGATGGCGTACCATTGTTAGGTGTGATGACCTGTAACTTTGTTTGCGTAATTAAATTGTAGAATTTTGATTCAGTTGCATTGTGGGAAAATTTATTTTATGTTATGTTATACGAGTTTAGAAAGTTCGATTCACAAATGTTCTTATGTTGATTTCAAATTATTTTCATTTAACAAAGTTTTATTTCAATAAAGGCATTTTATTATGATGTGTACAATGCATATTGTACCTATAATATAGTAATGCACAAATGTTGATTTAACATTTTTTGTAAAATGTGCAAGTTAACTCACTCACACATAGACTCCTGTACACTTATTATTAGTAACTATATCTAACATGGACGTCTGTACATTTACTATTTAGTAACTTTATCTAACATTACATCTGGGGTATGTATATCCTAGCCAAAAACGCTAACAAACGAGCATAGCCGTAGGGACCGGGGGTTCCGTGGGTTTGGACGAACCCCCGGTCGGGATTTCCCCCCCAAAAATATTTGTGGAAAATTAATTGCAATTACCAATAACATGTATTCAATTTATATGACTAGTAGGCCTAGATAAAAATAGTAGATTTACACTTCTCTCCAAAAGATCGGCAACCTCAGGCACGGGGTGGGATTGTTAATTTTGAGAAGACCCCGGAGCATCATGACATTATGCAAAGAAAAAGTATCAAAAATTTCGCACAACTTATTTTCCAACTTAAAAGCTGCTCCATCTACAGTGAAATAAACAAACTGTCTTAATACTGATGAAAATACATTTTCTTTCAAATCTGTGCCCCTCCGTTTTGTTTTATTTCAAAAAATGTGTAAAAATGCAAAATGTTTGTCACTTCCTGTTAAGTATCACGGCACCTTAAATGTGAATGCATTTCTGACCAAAAAGAGATACATTTTTTGTACTTTTGATTAAATTTACCGTTACCTTAACGCCCGGCAATTTTGCCTGGGAAATTAGATATCGTTCAGTGCGTAAGCTTTTCTTGCTATTTTAGCCCTGGGCATCGAAGGTGGTATTAACGTCATTTCTGCGGGCAATGGAGTGAAATACTTGACCGAGGGCCGTTGGTCCAATATATACTATATCACTATATTGCCCTTCGAAATGGCGTTATTGTACTATTCTTGACAAACGAATCAACCTTAATCGTTCAACGATTATATCTGCATCCTACCTGGTCCAGTGTCAAATCTCGTCTGGAAAATGAACCCCCTTCGCTGATCTTTCTTTTCAATTGATATTAATCAGATTCCAGGAAAGAGAGCTCAGGTTTTCATGCACGAGGGGCTATTCGTTTCGCACAATCGTTGTGGAAACCTTTAATCCCCGGGTCACAATAGCCCCGATCCATCAACCGGCGCCCGACCGATTGAGCGTTTTGTTGAAATTTGTATTCAATTTGAACAAAATACTCAATCGACCGGGCGCCGCAGTGAAAATCGTAGCAAATGTGACCAAGGCATTAGTGCTATTTCTTTTCAAAATACTGTATCAATCAAATACCAGGAAAGAGAGGCTAGTTTTTTTATGCACGACAGGCTATTGATTCCGCATAATTGGTGGTGGTTACTCGATTCGTGTTTTACTATCGATTTGCGTCGTTCTTCAAGGTGGGTAGAGGTGACGCGATGATACTGCACAAGGATTTCTGTCCAGACACCGAATATTTCATTACAATCAAAATCCAAATTTAAGCCATGGCTACTCTTAAATCGTGACACTGTTGAACACGGGCGAACCTAGTGTGGGGGTCCATTTGGCGTGACTGTCCCCCTTTTTGAGCCAGTCCCCAGGGATTTCGATTTGTTTATGGTGCTTAGAAATTTGTTCAAAATTGAATACAATATTTTAAAAAAAACACTCAATCGGCTAGGCGCCGGTCGATGGATCGGAGCAAATGTGACCCAGACATTACTGGTTTGGAATTTAGGCCGATCAAGTTGCGTGGCGCTATATTCACTCCATATGAAGCCTCAGTTGCATCTACTACGGCGATCGTACTGTCAATCATTCCTGCGCCCAGTAATCTTCTTCGAACGGTTGCCTTAGAATTTCTGCGATCAAATACTTATGCAGTCACATTTGCCACGGCAACCATACGGCGCATTTTGATTTGGAGGAGACATGTAAATTACGGTTGTCGTGCGGCATGTATATGATGACACGAGATGAGCGTTGGGCGTCCATAGTCTCTACTGTGGAGAGGGTCGTGATTGTAATGTTTCCGATACGAGCTCGAGACTGGTGTACCTTGAAAACAGCGGCGATAAATATATTGATCTTAACATCGGTCATGTTCTTTTTGAATATGCATATCTTTTTGTTGTCGGCTCTGGACATATTATTTTTTGTATAAAATTGTGAATGTAACTCTCTTGTTATTAAGAGGCAAATAAATTATACATTCAGGGTGTCCAAGAAGTAACGTCAATGACCCTGGCATTTTGTCATTTATGCTTCAAATGTCATGAAACTTGGTCAGAATGTTCCTTGTACATTTATACATATGAATACGAAGTATGGAGTGACTGGCATTTAATTGGCCGATTTTATGGTTGCCATGGACCCCGGGGAAGTTCAGAATGTACCTAGTAAATATTATGTAAATCAGGTTATTATAAGGTAAACCCTTTGGCAAAAATGAAATGCAATGTCTTGGGACTTTTTCAAATCTTAACGGTTTTATTGTTTATTGGGAGTTACCATGGTAACACTTCTTTGGAGTACTTTATGACATCATAATATGTTTTCTGTCTCTTGGACCGAATTCTTAAAATGAAAATGGATGATGTCCTGATTGTATCACAATCAAAGTCGGACACAGCTAAAATGGCACCTACAAAGAGTAGGCTTGAGCAAAGATGTAGTATTAAATATAATGTAAAACTAGGTAAAACAGCGAAAGAAACAATCAGAGATCTAAAGAAGGCGTATGGGAGAGATGCTATATCCCAAAGGAACATATATCGCTGGTATAATAAATATTCCTCTGGATATAAAGATGTCAATGAACAGCCTAAATCAGGAAGACCTGTGTCGAGTTTTGATTAGGAGACAGTCAAGGCAATCGAGACGAGAGTATTGGAGGACAGGCAAGTGTCTGTAGAGGAGTTTGATCTGTGTTGTGGAACTGTGCACACTATAGTTACTGAGTACTGCAATTTGAAGAAAGTCTCCCCCAAATGGCTTCCTCGTGACTTAACAGATGAACAAAAAGCCAAGAGAGTTGCACTTTCAAAGGCTTTTTTGTCAGTGTACCGGAGAAAGGGAATGGACTTTCTGGGGCAAATTGTAACTTCTGATGAAAGCTTTATTGGATTCTATACCCCTGAGAATGCCCAACAAAGTGCTGCATGGAAAAATGATGACTCACCTACACCATCAAAGCCAAAACTGATGCCTGGGGTCCCTATGAAAAAGCAGATGAGAATCACATTTTTGACATCAGGGGAATGATCCTCACCCGTCCCCGTGAGACAGACAGTCAACTCAAGGTATATCGCTACTAGGAATAGCCCTACTTGAACAAAGCTCCATATTCGCCTGATTTGCCCCCTAGTGACTTCTATCTTTATGGTGCACTGAAGGCTAAACTTGCTGGACAGTCTTTCTCTTCAAATGAGGAACTTAAGAGCTCTGTTCTGTCATCCCTTGCAGAAATGAGCTCTGGTGGTTCTCTGGTGGTTTCAATAGAGTTTTCTTGGAGTGGGTAAGAAGACACCAGAGATGTGTGGAACTTGGTGGTGATTATGTAGAGTAACATTCAATAAACTTTAATATAACACTAATATAACGCCAGCAACAGCTATATTATGAATAAATGATGTGTAGTTGAAAACATTATATTCGTGGTCATATTATAAATAAAAAATGTACACTTCAAAACTAGTGTTTATGGTTATTTTATTTTCCAAAGATCTTACGGATTGCAGAGCTGCCCCGGGGTCCATGCACTTGTGTTACTATGGTAACCATAAAACCGGCCAATAAAATGCAAATCCATACTTCATATTTATATTTATAAATGTACAAGGAACATTCTGACTAAGTTTCATGACATATGAAGCATAAATGACAAAACACCAGGGTCATTGACGTTACTTCTTGGACACCCTGTACATACATTACATGGGGCGGTAAGTTGTGGCCCGTCAACTGTTATTCCTACAATTATAATAAACACTTTAATTGGAAACAAAATATTTGGCCATGGATCAATTTTGTATTTGCAGCTTTAGTTCCTCTCACGTTAATCTAAATCTACAATACTATTATTAAATGTGTCCCAAAGGCACACAAGAGACGCAGAGCCTATATGAACGTCCAGAACGAAAACGATGGCACTAGATCGATGACGATAATGTTAATTGCCGTCAGTTTAACTTTCGTGATTTGACTCTCCCCGTTAACATTTATAACATCATGGACGCACAGATTACAGGCTACAACAGTCATCAGCATATCGCAGACATGTCACTCTTTGGTAGCTGCGCAACACTATTGTTTTTTATAAACTGTGGAATAGATTTCTTACTTTATTGTATTACTGGAAAAGGTTACCGAACCGAATTGATAAAATTGTTTTGCTGCAGAAGAATGGAAAAGCGCCATGAATTACGTACGACGGGCGCAACGTAAATTGTAATGTTATACACTAACAGTGCTTCGCAGGTTACGTCCTTTACATAGAGAACAAAACAGCCGTATCCTTGGTTGAAAATGGCGGTAATACTAACAAAGGTAAAAGTATGAAATTCTAAAACAGTAGAAAATAATATCGAACATTTGAACAGCAAGTTGAAGCAAAACGTAGTCGCCATTTTGAACTTTTCGACATGTCGTCCATTTTGAATTTGAGTGAATGTAATGAATAATATAGTCTGTTTTGTACAGATTATATATTGTTCTAATGTAAAACGAGTCATTCTAACGTATAAGTGAATGATTCATTCAGTTTACTTCACGAAATTAAAAAAGACTGGCAAAATGTTGTGTTGGCCTACACAATTTTAACGAACAGATATTTTCAATTTCAACATTTAATTGCATTTAGAGATCCTTAAAAATAAATTATAGGCTTTTTATCTTAATGTATTTAATATCAACATAATCATTGCATAATCATTGACAAGATAGAGGGAAATGCAAACTAAAACACAATTTATGAGATCTATGTTATTAAACGGTGATACAGTCTGTTGATCATACATTCGATATATACTCAAACGTAATATACAATTCTAAACATTATACGTCGGAACATCCTTTCTTATTTCTGTGCATTGCGATCAAGGACCTTGATCAACGCACATAACCATGAGGATCTTGTTTCTCGTGTCGATCGTTTGTATCTATGCAGTTCATGAAACAAATGCAGGGTAAGTGGAAATGTTTGTACTTAGCTATTAAGAAATCATTGATATTCACGGGATATGATCGCCTTAATAGGTCAATGTCGAAGAGCAGGTGATTTTTACAAGAAAATTCAAGAATACGAGAGTTTCTTATTCCAAATCTGCTGTTTCGCAGACAAAATAACACGCTCTTACCAATGCTTTAATTGTATTTAAATCCTAATTCAAGAGCTTCATGTTGCTACAAGGGGAAGGTGTACAAGACTGGGGCCAAATTTAAAGACGAATGCAATAGGTGCAAATGCAACTTCAACCCAATCAAAGATTTCGTGACTTGCACCAAGAAAAACTGCACAGAGCAATGCAAATTTAAAGGTAAAGGAGCAGGGAAAGTATCGCAACAGACTTTTGATAATTTTGACAGTTGATAATTTTTTTGTGAGTAGTTTCTGGCTGTAAAAAGTAAATGCTTGGGAAAGGCGAATCTATAATCTTCAAGAAAAGTTCAAAGAATAGTTTCCAGATCAATTGGATTATCTTATAATCCATGTTTAATCCACCCATCAACAAGCTTTTTCAAAATACATTCGTCATTTTCACTATCGTCCCTCATTTTTTTTACAATTTTTCATGCAAAATTACATTGTACTTGAACACATGTTTCATCAAGTAAAATATGTAAGTAACTCCATGAAGTTTGTTTTTGAGTTTTTTTGAAAAAATGAACCTCTTAAAATGCATGTTTACAAAAATAATTTAGGAGTGATGTAAAAGATGGCAATGTTTTTCAATAATAACATGCATAGGTGGGTGAATTACTCATGTGTGTTGTGTTTTAATCCTGCATTCACTGACTGAGTTAGCCTATTGAAAAATCGTAGAGATTAATAATACAAACAGTATTACTATGAATACTTCTACTTCAAGCTCAAATAGCGCTTTCAGGGTCCTGTGTTGAAATACTAGATCACCTTATGTGTATGAATTTTCAAGAGAAACCATCAGTGCAAGCAATTAAATGAAAGCATCATCCGAACATCACTTGAAAAGTACTAAAGTGGTGAAAAATTGCAGGATGTTGACAGAAAATGTGCCTAGGGGAGAGGGTCGTCTCTCAACCCCCCTCCACCCCCTCCCTGATCACGGGACTAATACATGTGATATGGCAAAGTCCAATTCATAGATTAAGTTTCCCTTGCAGTCTTGTTGGCATTTTTATTAGAGTTCATGTTTTGTTTATGTTAATGGGTGAGTGGAAGACCCTTGGGTGGGAATCAAATATAAAATGTTTTCTAAAATATATATTTGAAATACTTTGTGTATGTACAGTCACAAACTCTAGGCAACATTAACTAGTAATGGGGCAACACCCCAACTCAACTGAGTGAATGTGTAAACCATTTAAGGAACAAAAAACATTACATAAAACAAACTCAGCATGCAAACATGTAAAACTGGCATGGCAAAACAATAGATAGTGAAACTGAATAATAAAAGCACATACGACTAGAAACCAAGGGATTAATGAACACTGGTGTAAAGTAATGAAGGGACCTGTTAAAATGACATGAATGGGGATTGGTCAATTTGAATAGTAGAAATATAAAAAATGTGAAAATTAGCCAGGTAGAGGGGGAGAGATAAAGGGAGCTGCTGCTCCCCCAAGAGATTCTTTCAAAATGATGCAGTTTCTCACCAATCTGAGCACTTCGCATGATTTTTTAGCCAAAACTGTCAAAAAGTTCATCCCTAGGCAAAAGCTTTGCCCTTGGTAAAACTGCTCCTACCCCTTGGTAAAAGCTGGCTACAGACTGTGTAAAACACTTGTGTGAGAACTTGAACATGAACGAGTACTGTTATGACCCCCAGTAATGTTGTCCATCTCTCAACTGGTTTAACTGGGGACCATTACATCAATTGGCATTATATCAATCAGGCAACAAAAAGAGGCCAGTGATGTGAAAATAGTCAATAGCACGGTGTTATAGCATGACGGTTACGCCACCTCTGAAAACGAGGTTGGACAGCTACGTTCACGAATTTATCCAATAAAATGGCCGCGATGGAAGAGAAAACTAAGGTTGGCGCATTATTTTCTATTTCTGTGTATCAATGAAAGGATGAACGATTTATGTAAAAATCGCATTCGGTGATACTTTCAGTAATGTATATTTTGAACGTAGCCTTTGCAAATTGATGCCCGGGGATAACATGAAATAAGAGAAAAACTGTCGAGTTTGAAATTCAAAACTACACAAAAATTTAGTAATTTGTTTATTTTTGTTTTTGTTGTTAGGGCATGGTCTACATTGCCTAAAAACCTTGTGGTATATAGATGTAACCTACATACGATCATACAAAGCCAATTGAGCATTGGAAACCACCTATGTATGTTCTACTCAAGCCATAATAATGTATTTTGAATTTGCAGTAGTTATACACAGTTTACTTATACTTACAGTTAATATTTTGAGTGGCTCATGTACTGAGACAACACGAGAATGGACCAAATATTATAAACTTTGATATCTCAGTCGGTAGGTTTACAGATTATATTCTGTTTCTTGTAGACCACCTGGCAGATTTGACCCAGTCTTTATAACCATCCATATATACGTCACCGAATGGAACTAGTTTAAAAGGAAATCTTATCTGTGAATATTTCCTACAGGCGAGAAAGAGGACATGCTGCCTTTCCCATCCGCCATTTTTTGTTATCGTTACCGCAAAATTTTGCAAATCGCCTTGACGTAACCGTCATGCTATAACACCGTGAATAGGGGACCATAAGTTTACACATTCCATGTGTACGTTCATCAAAATAGTGCGATCTTAACCTCCCTAATAACTGAAATTGTTGACTCAACCAATAGAATCATTCTATGTTTGTTTATATTTGTTCACATTAATATGGAAGAAAATCGGACATTTTGCTAAAAAGATGTTATTGTAAATCTTAGAAATAATGATAAAGGTAGTATACACCACACACTCAATGGTATTGATTGTGGTTTTCAGAGACTCTCAATAGGGACTTTAAGCTTGCAATGTTTTTCACAACCTAAATGTGAATGGAAAATATTTAGCGATGCATTTGTATGGGCGATTGGTCATAGGTTGGCGTTTCGATTTTATATGCAAGCTTAATCTCCCTAATGTTAACATTAAGGTAAGAGTGTATGTTACTCATAACATTTTATTAGGATAACATTTCTTGAATTGATGAATATGCAAAAATTATTCTTAGCATATCATCCTTCATTTCATTATCTGAATATTCAATCTGGAGATAAACTCAAATAAGGAAGTGTGTTATAAAACATCATCATATATGTTCAATGTTTTTTCAGAAGCTGGATCAAAATATTTGTCTTACTAAAATTATTGGCAAAGGTATGATGTACTAAATTCTTGTACTGTATTTATGATTTTAATAGCACTGTACCTCGTGAATCATTACTGATAAACAAGATACAGAAAACCTGTTCAAAGTAAATGCTATAATAAGGCATCATAGAAATTATCATAAAGAGAGGTATTTAGAATTTCTTAGCAACTTATAAATAATAAAAAAAGAGACTTCTACAAACCATCAGTGTAAAACTTACAAGTGATAGCACAGTGTGAAAAACAAGCACCAGAGACTAAACAAAGGTGGCATCAAAGCACCTAGTACAGATGGATATAAACAAACAAACAAAGCAACTTACACACACACACACACAGGTTTAACTGCACTCAAACATTAAACAGTCAACTTGACAGGTATTCAGAATTTTTGGGGAAATGCTGCGGTTATGCTCCATTGATTAAACAGGGGATCAAACAGCAGGGGATCAAACAAGTCCAACCATTCATTTATGAAAACATTTTGAACTAACTTTATGGCACACTAATGACATCTTATATGAGTGTGCTGTACTAAAAGCATAGACTAAGCTTTTAGATCCCCATTGGATCCCCTTATATTGGATTATCATAATCCTAATCCACGAGGAGTTCCTTATATATTTTAAGTGATGAAACATGTGTTCAAGTACAATGTAACTTTGCATGAAAATTGTAAAAAAAAATGAGGGACGATGGTGAAAATGACGATTGTATTTTGAAAAAAGCTTGTTGATGGGTGGATTAAACATGGCTTATGAGATAATCCAATTGATCTTGAAACCATTCTTTGAATTTTTCTTAAAGATTATACATTGGCCTTTCATATGCATTCATTTTTGTACAGCCAGAAACTACTAGAAAAAAATTATTTACTGTCAAAAATCTGTTGCGATACTTTCCCTCGCTCTTTATTATTTATCAGGGATACAAATGGTTAATCATTGGACAGACATAAACGGCAATGCGTGTGATAAAGTTCTATACCTTTTCGGAGGCTTAACAATTTAAAAGGCCATGTGTTGACCTCCCGATTAGATAAACCATTGAAATACATTAATCACAATTATTTCTAAATAATCGCTTAAAACACATACTATGTCAATTTTATTTTCAGACTGTAAAAGGACAAAATGTCCCAATATCTGTTGTCCACAAGATTCACATATACCTCCGGGAAGATGCTGTCCAGTGTGTAATATGAAACGTAAGTATCTTATATTACACAAAATGTCCCAGTATTTCTTGTCAACAAAGTTCGTATACACCTCCGGGAAGATGCTGTCTAGTGTGTAATATGAAACATAAGTTTCTTATATTATACAAAATGTCGCAAGGTTCACATATACCTCCGTCAGAGTCGCTGTCCAGTGTAATATGAAACGTAAGTATTTTATATTATACAAAATGTCCCAGTATTACTTGTCCACAAGGTTCGTATATAACTCCGGGAAGATGCTGTCTAGTGTGTAATATGAAACGTAAGTATATTATATTATACAAAATATCCCAGTATTACTTGTCAAAAAGGTTCGTATATAACTCCAGGAAGATGCTATCTAGTGTGTAATATGAAACGTAAGTATATCATATTATACAAAATATCCCGGTATTACTTGTCAAAAAGTTCCGTATATAACTCCGGGAAGATGCTATCTAGTGTGTAATATGAAACGTAAGTATATTATATTATACAAAATATCCCGGTATTACTTGTCAAAAAGGTTCGTATATAACTCCGGGAAGATGCTGTCTAGTGTGTAATATTATATTATACAAAATATCCCGGTATTACTTGTCAAAAAGTTCCGTATATAACTCCGGGAAGATGCTATCTAGTGTGTAATATGAAACGTAAGTATATTATATTATACAAAATATCCCAAACAGGATCTTAAGAGGTTCTGGACAAATCATTTGATTCTGGACTTGTCATATTTTTTTTTCAACGAAATCACATCCAAGGGTTGAATTTTTATTAGCTATTTAGAGAGTGAGTCCTGCCTAGTATTAATTTCAATAAAAAAGTTAAAATAGAACCCTATTTGAGAGTCAATCTAATACTTACATTGATAAATTAAGGCAAATCCTGAAATATTTTAAAGTGCGTTTTTAATGAAATATTATCCAGCAAGTATTTAAATGAAACGGTCTTATTTAAATACAAATCATAACATGATATTTTTCATGAAACATTTTTCAATGAAATTCAATTGAAGGGTCAAGATAAAACGAGCTAATTTAGGTGAAAACCCTTACATGATGATGTGTTTTCATAACTTCTTTCATAAAATTCCATCAAGGGGTGAAGATAAAATGATCGAATTTAAGTGATTTAAGGATCACGAGAATATGTTTTCTTTGATATTTTCTATGAAATCCCATCCAATGGTCAAGGTAAAATTTTGATTTTGATTTGGTCAAGTGTTCGAAAGATCCATATAAGGCCCATAGAACCATATAGGAACGTCATTTTGAATGTCACGTGATAGATCCATATAAGGCTTTTAGAACCATTTATGGAAAGATGAGGGAAGCCCCTGACACCTGTTTCACTATTTTTATGCACTTCATTATTGTACCGAAGTTTGCCGATTTGATTCGTCGTATTTCGGAATCCTGGTGACAATTTTATACTCCATTGGAGTATTTTTGACCTACTTCTTATGACGGAAATTCCCGAACCTTGTTCGGATTAATCCGGATTTTCTGACCTACCTTATCTACCGAGATTTCACGAGTTAACATTCGTCTCATTCCGGAATCCTGGTGACAATTTTATACTCCATTGGAGTATTTTTGATCTACTTTTTCTGGATTTTGCCCTACTTATTATATCTTGACAACAAGCAAATCAAAAAGTTCGACATGAACGGGTCTCGATCCACTAACCTAGGCTATGGAAGCCAGGCACGCTAACCATTAGGCCAACGAGCTCCCGATATGAAAGAACAAAAGTATTATATATTTATACCGAGCGTCAATTCCCTATGGCGCTAGTGAATAACCAAGTCCCAGGTGAGTGGTTCGTATCCCTCCGTGATATACTATTTTTGTTTTATTAAATACGACAGAAAGGAGCAAGGTGTAGGTTGAAAAAAAGACGTTAGTTTGTTTCAAAACAGTTTGGAAACATTAATCTCTGGAACATTATTTTTTCAACACTGATACAAATTTCCCTGACATTTCCCTGACATGTCTACCGTTTCAAAATTCCCGGTCATCTTTGGCCCTTTTGACCTAATTTTAAAATTACCTGACATTTCCAGCACTTGGAAAATCAAGTCAATTTCCCTGACATTTCCAGGTGTGTATGAACCCTGGAAATATCCCACTGGCTCGCCCTATGAATCGCTAGCACAGATTGGATTGATTAGTGTTTCAAAATGGTGGACGAAGTGTTTGATTAGATAATTTACATATTAAGCTTCTTAAAGGGGCAACAAGGCCTGTACATAGAAAATTCGAAATTTTTTACATTTTCTGAATTTTTAGGGCAACATTTGGCTTTAACATCTTTTTTTATACATTTTTTCTTAAAATGTATGGATAAACAATAAAATGTCAGCATTAAGCAGTGCAAATTCAGTTCAAAGCTTCTATAAAGGGAGTCCAACTTATAGATTTTGAAAATCCGACTCGTTTAAAGAAGAATATCAGCAGCTTAAATCACGCCTTGTGATCATACAAAATGGATGGAGGGGGGGGTAGGCGATTTCTGCAAGAAAACTCAACAAATTTGGAAGATTTATTTTTTTCAAGATAAAATTTACAACTGAATTGCCAAATGAATAGGCGCAGTGCATGGCAAAATATGTAAGGTCTTCTAGTATTTTTTGAACTGATACGCTTCTAAGATATGAGATCTATTATAAAAGGCGCATCATCATCATCATCATCATCATCATCATCAACGTGCAAAAGTCAATGTTTTTGCTATAAATCAGGCAACAATGGTCTACACGACCTGTAATAAATAGGTATGAGGGGCGTTATTAGAGAATTTTCGTTATAAGTTTTTTAAAAACTTATACGTATACTTATACTTATAAACCCAATAAACAAGGTGTTTCATAATTTCCTAATTCGTCGGGAAATATCTCCTAGGACGGTAATAAAAAGGGCCAATGGCATACCATCCGTACCCCCTTGATGTAAAGCATGTTTAGTTGTGTCATATGTGTTTTCTAGAATCAAATAGGCTGATATAGCACACGGGTTTTACAGATTTATCTACTCTCAAATATATTTTTGGTAGATGATCGTTTTGAATCACCTTGTAGAAATAACGAAGGGAGAATTAGTTCAGCTAATGAATGAGTCGAGCTATTTGATTGGATACTATGCCTATTCAGCCGATTAATTTTAATAAGCCATTCTGGTCAGTAGGTCCACACATATACTATGCGGAGATCCAACTCTGTAAGTTTATAATCTGCGTATAAAGGCCCTTTTATACGTAAAAACTTAAAAATTGACCTTATAATTTCATGAGAACTTTGAAATGATCGACTCGTTCGTGTAGTGATTCACTTTAAAGGGTCTTGTTTATCGTACACTACAAGGACCCGTCAACTAGAATTTAGTTTATCGTGTTCATAATTGACACTAGCAAAGGACATTGTATTCGCAGCCCCTAGTTGATGATGAAGCTTGACTATATCGGGAATAGTTATGCCCCACTTGGTACAGATTATGAAAATCAATTTAAATTGATTTTAGTTCGACAAGACCCTTTAAACTAAAAGTATACGTATAAGTTTTTGAAACAACTTATAACGAAAATTCTCTATTATCACAACACTGACATTGCTCACTTTTTAAAGTTGTTTTATATGTAAATGGGCGTGTGGAAGGCCCGTGGGTGGCAATAAAATAACTCGAACTTCAAATTAAAATATATATAAAATAGTATATTTCAAACTTCAATGTTTAAAATACAATGCTCTGTAATGTACAACATGAACTCTTACAGCAACTACTGACAAGCCAACACCCAATGCAAACTCAGCTACATGTGAGTGAGAAAACCCATATAGGGGAACAATAGATATATAAAACTGACACAGTTTGCATAGTTGAATAACTCAAGGTGAAAAGTGAACATGGTATTAAAAGAGTAAAACTGCAAACAACCTACTTAGGGACCTGTTATATTGAGATGAATAGGGATTGATTAATATGAACAGTAATAATATAAAATGTGAAAATGACCATGTAACATATACAAAAAATAACCCCATTGTTACAAAATCACAAAAAGTGAAATATCTATTCTTGTATTGCATTTTCGTTCACTGGACATATTTTAATTGCATTGCTATTAGATACATTTTAAGGGTGATATGAAAATTGAACCACGAAAACAGATGTACTTTAAGTTAAAGGGAACTTTCTACCATACCCGCCATGCTATCTGACCCGAACGAGCCACCTTGTGGTGAGATTGGTAACTACCTGCTCGCATCTGCGTTATTACGCAGAGACATAAACGTATACACAAGGAAACGATAGGAGATAACCTATTTTATCTCTGTATACATTTTAACTTTAATACATCGTTGAATCGAATTTGTCCAAAGGTCTTGAAACGTAAAATACCTAAATATTTATCTTAGACCTTGGGATGACCTTGTACAAGAAACATTAATGTTGACCTCGGTTCATCTAATCATAATTCGCCAAGGGCCATAGTATCATCAAACGCCAAATACCTAGACATTGATCGTTTACTTGGATTTAAATAAGGAGTATGATTTTAAAATTGGCTAGGTCGTGGTTAAGCAACAATAGTATGTTCGAAATACCGCTGTGTAATGCCTGGATCACATTAGCTGCGAGTATTTTGTTCAAAATTGAATACATTTCTGAACACAATACTCAATCGGCCGGGTGCCGTAGTGAAAATCGGAGCAAATGTGACCAAGACATAAAACAATTGAATAATACTGTATCAGTTTCACATTTACAGCGGTCAAAAGCATTTACAAAAAAAACGCCAGAGTTGGCAATCATATAAAATGAAACCAATCCCGCTGTGATTCATAGAAATAACTAATTTACTGCATTGAGTTCAATGTTATAACCATGTCGATTTACATGAGTGTCCGATTCATTGTACCAAATTTAAACCTTGACTGTTCTCCAGAAAGCAATAAGCGGACATATATCATATTTTACATTTTAATACAACTGAAAAGATAATAA